ATTATTGTTTCTGTGTGTCTATATCAGATTCCTTTGATTGAATAGAAGTACACGTATGTTATCGCTCTTTCTCAAATTCTAAAATGCAGGTTCCCTTTGAGACACAATAAGTACTATGTAAGTAAATAGGTCAAATGTCAACCTCGCTATAAACACAGTCAAATGCAGCAGTATGAAGTTTTTATTAAATGTTACCTCAAGATTCATTTACTAATGACATAAGTCTATCTAAAAGATGAGACAAAATAAAACGAATTTATATTTTACGATTGTTTGCAGCATTATCCCTCTGAGAGCTTTTGTTGACACTAATGTTTGTCTAAAACATTACTTCTATAACACTTTTTCTACATTCACCAAACTGTTATATCTATAAAGAATATAGTATTTTAAATAACTTACGCGTTTCATATAATTGTCAAAAGCCCCTCTGATCCGACGGCTTCCATGTCTTTTTTACAAAAATAATCTACATGGATGACTTTCGATGAAATTTAAATGTCAATGAGAATGAGTGCTCATGATTTGTAACTTACTGCATTTACACCAAAACCGATAAATGTATATCCCATGTGATTATAATTCATAGTTCAACTTTAGTTTGTACCATAATTAATAAATAGTTTTTGTCGTTCTAAACACTGAAAGGTTTTCATTATCTTATCTTTACAGTAGAAATACCTACGAAACCAGCCAATGTTGCGGAGTTTGCTACCACAGAATATTCACTACCACAGGTGTGAAGTTAATTACCACAGAATATGGACTACCACAGGTGTGGAATGGAATAAAAACGTTCATCAATAAAACAGAACAAAAAAAGCTGATTCAAATACAACAAGAAATCAGTTCAGCCCAGGAGAGTCTCAAACATTATCTCAGCCATTTCAAATGTGTTTCAGAAGAAGTGAAAAGCCAGGGAAACACATTCACAATTGAAACATTTAGAAAACGAAAATTCCAAACTCCTCACCGATTACAAGACAGAACTCGAGAGGAAACTTGAAGAATTGAAGAATCAACTAATACATTGTAAGGAAACCCTTCAGACTGGCACAGATATCAACGTGTTTGACGTTTACAGTAGACATAACACAGACATCACATTACCTAGAACACCCATTCTGGGGACCGCAAAGTTCAGTTCAATCCTTGCGAATCCTTGACGTTTGCATTCGGGAAAATGATTTTGAACCCTTCTAGTCAAATTGATGATCACGTCTCTGCAAAAGTCGACACACATGCTGATTCGTCTGATCAACAACTAACTCGACCTTCAGACCAAACGCCTTACGAGATGACACATTTAGCAAAACTGGCCTCACCTCTATCAAAGATTGTGGTTCTGTCAGAATGGAATTCTTCATTTGACGTAAGATGTATCTGTCCTACTAGCAATGGTGGTGCTTGGGCATGTAGACTATATGAAAGATTTTGACGTACCTGACCAGTGAGGGAAGAGTACAGCAGCAGATAAAGAGTCCAGTTAGAATAAGAAACATATGTATGTCTCCCTCTACACAAAAAGTCTGGGTCTGCTCTGAAGAAGATAATAGTGTCATGGATCTAAAATCAGGTACATTATTGACATCAGATAAATTGGTCAGTAAATTCAACACAAAAGATAAACCTAGGTGTCTGTGTGTTACAAAAGATGACCATGTCCTTGTGGGGATGAAACACGGAATCATTAAGTACACTCAAGGAGGGAAGACAAGCCTCACGACAAGAGTACAATCCAAGAAACCACTAGTGCGCTCACCAATCAAGATAGTGGAGTGTCTGGTCAGTGAGAATGTTGCTGTGCTTGATGACGATTGGGGAAATGATGGTGGATTAAACAAACCACTGTGTATAGTGATGGACAAACATCTACGTGAGTTATACAGGTATGGACCACACCAACACACCAGCAGGACAGTATCGCAGACTTTCCGCCTCCAGGATGTAACGTATGACAGACCGGAACAACTGGTGGTTGCTGGGGAATTACAACGACTACTGTCTCCATCTTCTGAATGGTGATGGTCAATACCTTGGACAGCTATATACTGACAAAGACAGGACAGTGGCTATGTGTGTATATGGGCAGGGAGTTCTGTGGGTGGTATTTGATAATGTATTTAGAGCTAATAAAGTAAAACGACGTCAGTACACCAGTGATTTAATCAAACTGTATGATATCATTTTGATGCGAAGACCGTCATCTTTTACAATAACTACCGATGTTGAACCTGACTCCCTCTATGCATAATCTTTATTTTGACTTTTTCCGTAAAGAAATTACAAGGATATTTGAAAATTCAGTCAATGATAAATCCATAGAGCGTAAAAAGAAATTTATATAATTTTGCTTTCAATATTCTAGAAAATGGCTTTGAGAACATAGATTCCATTATCCTTTGAATATACTCTACTACACATGGATTATGTCTTTCTGTTAGAGCTTATCCTATGCCTTGAAGTAAATTTACACGACATACCATCATTGAATTTGTATATAAAAATTACAACAAATTACAACAAATAGGCAAAGGCGTTTATATAAATTATTTAAATTCAAGGGTGTCGCTCTTGGAATATGCCTTCACAAAATGGGAGACTCTTTACTTGATCTCTTGCGGTATGCTATTCCGAAGTCATTGAGGAAGATCAAAAGAATCGCTCTGGGTGCAATAAAGGTAATATCGACAGGCTTTGAAATGAGATTTAACTTAATCTTTAAATAATAATAATAATAATATATACAGCATTTATATAGCGCCCTACATGATTTGTAAAATTACTCTAAGGCGCTTTACAACATATGGATAATAGTAATGGTTATAATTGTGAAAACAAACAACAAAGGCTTGCAATCACTTTCATACATTTAACAAGCAATGTGCACATAATTGAACAAATAAAAGGGTGGTATTTACATGACGTCTTTGCAAAGATTCTAAAATGACAGTATTAGCATAGCAAGTGTTTAGGTTTTATACCTGAAATCAATCTTATATTTTACTACAATGCATTCGATTTTATCTTGACAGATTCATGTGTTTTAGAATTGCACTTAATAATAATAATTACGTAACAAGATAATTTGATTATATGTATGTTACAGGGATTCGGATATTGTGTGGATCAAATTTTGTGTTTGCACGACTTTTACTCTTGTCCATTGATGCTCCAGATCAGTTTACAGCTGAATATATACCACGTGACACCTGTTAGTGTCACTTCTACTAATTTTCTCAGAGGCCAAGGTCAGGAGTCCTGTGTGATTATATATCACACCATCACACCATCCCCTCATCTCCATAAACTATCATCATCATGTGGAAATAATCATATCTAAACTCACAATCGTGTTCACATGCTGTGTATTTAAGGATTCCTGTCTCACTGTTCTCGTTGCGTTTTATATACAGTAACTTACATTAAAGTTCGTTTTGGATTTAACTGTATTAAAATTATGTCAGGGCACTTCTGGTGACCCGGCAGCTCAGTCGGTTAGAGCGACAATATAACAATTGGAGGTCTAGGGTGCGATTCCTAGTCTGACGTTTTTTACTCAGAACATTGTTTTTTATTATATTTTGTTTATATTGCCTTTATTTTTTCATAATGTCATGCAAGGTACATTGTATGGTTTTCTTTTTATAAATAATTTATCAAAGCTATAGTCATGCCGGAAAAACTATTTTCAATGCGTTATCACAGGTTTTGGCCATGGTACAAGGATCCATATGCTGTATTGTTTAGAAGCACAGTAACGTGTATTATACAGTGTATGTCGGTCATTTTGACCCCTTCCTTGTAATAACAAACACTATACATTGAGTTATTACTAAATGTTTTTATATTGGCCGATGTGTATTCATGTTGCTTTTTGTAATACATAACCCCTTCAAATCACTGTGGAATTACCTGTTGTTATTTGTCTATTGCACAACCGGGTAAAATTTGCTGTCCGACTGGTAATTTGAATCTTGATATGTCATTGGTTTGTTACTGTGGAACCTTTCTGGAAAGATGTTTCAGCGATTACGTATATATATATATATATATCGAAATGCGTCAAAAGAAATACAGATATTGAATTTGTCATTTAGTCTCCCCGAGAATTATTATAATATACCTTTGTAAAATTTCAGGATCGTTGTCTTACAGCAGACAAAACACCCAATTATTCCAATATAGTTTGTTATACATAAAACAATTTCCCTTCCCCAAATTTTGTTTAAGATGTAACTGCCGTAACTGAACCAACGTACAGCCGCTGACCAGAGCTGTCTAGCGCAAAAACATAATAATGAGGATATGGGTTCGAATCCTAATCTGGCCCAAATGCATGTTACCCTCAAAATACTATTTTTGATTAATTTGTGATACAAAGACTTTTTTAGTGATACACAGAATCCAGTTCACAGTTTCAAAAACATGTATATTATTGCTATCTAAAACCAAATCCAAATTTAAAACAAAAATATAAAATAGATAAAAAAAGGTTGTTAAATTTAACAGTGACCCATCAAAATGTACCTATGTGTTTTTACTGTTAAAGACAGGTTACCAGAGCGATTTCATATATTTTCAAAGTTGGAAATCTTAAATTTAAATCTGTTTGATTCTGAGAATGAAACAGAAGATTGTCAGGACAAAATTCTAAACAGTTTTCTATAAAATAAAATACACACACAATAACTGATAGTTTACATGAGCAAATACTAAAAAACGAGATTATTTTTCATCACGAGTACTTATTTTAGAGTTCTAAAAGATTTTCGAATGAAATGCTTACCATGCATATAATTTATTATGACCTGTGTCAATAAATTCTTCGGTATCACATTACCTTACAAACACATTGCAATTTCTATATGGACAGGAGAAGTAGCGTTAGGCTGAAGATATATTGATATTGATTTATTACTACGAGAAAAAATGTAGATAAGGTATCTATGGATCCAGCACGTGAAAACTTTGGACGGGTAGATATGCATCTCTCATGGTAACTATGTTTGTCTACCAGTGTACACTTGGAAGTCTGCATAGGTAGGACGACTCACCTCAACAAGACAAGGTACGTTTAGAGCTTTGTTGATGTACTATCTGAGTTAGTATAGATGCGTTGAAAGTTTCAACTCGGTGATATGCAGTAAGTTTTTGATTTGACGTTAAATGACACAAATAATAACAACTTGTGTTGATGGCATTCAAAACATAGTAAGACACAAAAGTGTTTGCATACAATAGTTTAAAGTTAAGACGTATATTGATTGGGAAGCCTGCAATATAATGACAAGAAGGTTTGTATAAAATATTCGGAACTGTTTAGTTTATAAAAAACGTTTGAATGTATAATCTGAACATTTTAAAGGTTTGTTCTCCTTGGTCATTGTATCAATTTTGAAACTCTTGTATGGAATATACACAATATAAGAATAAAACAAGACCATCGCCAGGATGGCATACTAGTTCCCCTGCCAATGCCAAAAACTGTATGTACCTTTTTTTCCACAACGTTTTAAAAGAAAGGAGCATAATTCTATAATAAGGTGAACATCAATTAATATACTTCATAAACATAATTTCAATGTAAGTGTAATGGGAACCAAATAAAATAGAATTCAAAATTGTTGTGGTACTTCAGAAGATGTCAAAAAAACGGTTTTCTTTTCCCTTTTTTTCTTTTTTTTGTCACTCAAATGCATCACTTCATCAATTAAGTGGGTAACTCCGGTCTATATACTTAATTCACATCATCTCAATTTAAGTTAAATGGGTACCAAATAGTGTAGGATTCAAATTCGTGAAGGACTTTAGGGATAGTCAAACAAGGTTCTTTGGGAGTGAAGTGCGAATAATGTGTTCAAACAAAGAGTCAGCTCTCCATAATGAAGGAGTAACTATTTATAAACACTTTTCACACGTAAATATTTCTGTCTACAAAGTATCATACAAATGGATGTAGTATCATAGGAGGAGAAAATGCTTTTAAACAAATAAACATTATCCCACCAAACCGATGTTTATCATTTATTCACATCCCCTCTTTGTGAGTTTTTTTTTGTACCAATTCTCCTCCGCCTTGGAAACGGTGAAGTTTACAACAATTCTAACTTACCTAAAAATGTTGGTCCGTTAAAAAAGAAATATAAATAACAATTGCCACTTTGTCTTTTCAATTTGATATTTGTCGTTTTATCTTTTTGTTTGGTTGAAGTAATTTCCTTTTGCTAGTTCAAAATACCTTTTATTGGCCTTACACATCTGTTCTGCGTTAAGAACTCAATAAATAAGTAAATAACAAATAAAGATAAGATTATCTCAGGACCCTTTTCGAGTTTCACTGAGTCTATCTCGAACCCTGTGTTGGTACATGTGTCTGTTCGCTCATCTCTGTCCCCTTTTTCAAGTCTCAGCTTGTCTTTTTCAGAACACCTTTGTGGCCGTTGTTTGGGTATCTCGGGACACTTTTACGGTGTCTCTGTGTTTATCTCATAACAGACATTTTTATAATATATGTGTGACAAACTCGGAGCCCTTTTACAACCGGAAATAATCTGAATATAGCAAGAATGTAAAATGTATCAGAAGATTAGAAATGTAATAACCAAAACTGATGCTGGCACAATATCCTTCTTAACATATATGCTTATTGCTTATCTTTCTAACATCTACCAAAATAAAATATAACTAGCACTACTAGAAAAACCTTATTATTTATGATGTTTTCCTAACAAAAATACATCTCTCTTTTTTCAGGTATTGATTGTGCTGTCACGAAACAAAGACTACCACAAGTGCGAGTGTGCTACCACAAAATACTCACTTTTACAAGAAAAGAGTGTCAAGTGTTACCACAAAGCATTGACTTCTGTATATGGGTATTGTCTCTACTTTGTGTGTTTTGTTCCTTGGATAAAGCTATTATAATGGTTGTTTCTTCACTCATCAGAAGGTAATATGGCTGGAAAGGCTACCTCCTTCTATAAAGGACAGATCGCTGTCCGGGTTCAAGGTCATAAGACATGCGTACACCACAAAAGGAAGACATTGGACTGGTTCTGTGAGACATGTCATGACGTCATATGTACAAATTGTATTTCCACATTACACAAAGGTCATGGCATTGTCCCGTTGAGTGAAATTACTCCAAACAACAAACATAAAATAAAAACGTTCATCAATGAAACAGAACAAAAGGAGCTGATTCAAATACAACAGGAAATCAATTCAGCCCAGGAGAGTCTCGAAAAACACCTCAGCCATTTCAAACTTGTAGCAGAAGAAGTGAAAAACCAAGGAATAAAACTAAAAGAAGACGTTGATGTTCTTATTGCTGAAACACTTTCACAATTGAAGGATTTAGAAAATGAAAATGCACAATTCTTCACCAGGTACACAACTGAACTGGAAAGGAAACTTGCAGAATTGAAGGATCAACTAAACCAGTGCAAGGAAACCCTTCAGACTGGCACAGATATCAAGGTGTTTGACGCAATCAGTAGACTTCATACAGACATCACTTTACCTAGAAGACCCGTCCTGAGGACCGCAAAGTTCAGTCTAAACAAAAATCGTAACGAAGATTTGGCGTCTGCATTTGGGAAAATGACCTTTACTTCATCTAGTGAAACTGATGATCACGTCTCTGCTAAAGTCGAAACATCAGCTGGATCATCAGATCTACAGCCATCACGACCTTCAGACCACATGCCGTACGAGATTATCCATTCAGCAAAACTGGACTCACCTCGAGCAAAAATTTCAATTCTGTCAACATGGTATGCTCGATGTGATATCTATCATATCTGTCCTGCTGGAGATAGTGGTGCTTGGACATGTGAAGCAAACAAGACTTTGACACATCTGACCAGTGAGGGAACAGTAAAGGAGCAGATAAAGAGTCCTGTTAGAGTAACCAACATTTGTATATCTCCCTCTACACAAACAGTCTGGGCATGCTCTGAGGAAGATAACAGTGTCATGGAGCTGAAACCAGGAACATTGCCGACATCAGATAAATTGGTCCATAAATTCAACACAAAGGATAAACCCAAATGTCTCTGTATTACTAAAGATTACCATATCCTTGTGGGGATGAAACACGGAATCATCAAGTACAATCAAGGAGGGATACCAAGCCTCATGACAACATCACATTCAAAGAAACCACTAGTGTGTTCACCATTGACTATCTCGGAGTGTCCGGTCAATGAGAATGTTGCTGTACTTGACGGAGACCTGTCGATTGATGGTGGAGAAAACAAAACACGTATTATAGTGATTAACAATCATCTACAAGAGGTTTACAGGTGCGGACCACACCAACACGGCAATAGGACTGGATCTCTGTCTTTCCACCCCCGGGATGTAACGTACGACAGATATGGACAAATGGTGGTGGCTGACTATGACAACAACTGTCTACATCTGCTGAGTGGTGACGGACAATACCTTGGGCATCTGCATACTGACAAAAACAGCCCACTAGCTGTGTTTGTGGACAAGCAGGGAGTTCTGTGGGTGGGGTTTGGTAGTATGTATGGGGTTAATAAAGTAAAACGACTTCAGTACACCAGTGATTAAATCAAACTATATGATATCCTTTTGATGTGAAGACCGTCATCTACAATATGACTCCAGAAATGGATTCTGACTCTCCATATAATTATTTACATAATAAACCATTTCGATCTTTCCCTTGAGAAAATAAAGAAACATAAAAGGTTGGTCAACTATAAAACTTATAAAGTGTTAAGAGAAAGGTGGGGTCCATTTTTGGCCAACGCAGCAATTTTTTCATATTTTGCAACAACATTGCCAGACTGCAGACAGTATTAAAAATGATGGTCTCATCTCCCTAGGGTCTGATGTGGCCAAAGTGGAGCTCCTTGAACTACAGAACATGAAGTTATACTTACTCAAGAGCCTGCAAAATCACAATCTATAGTTGATTTTTTTCCGTTATAATGCTGCTGTTTATAGGTGTAGTTGATCAGTTTGATACCACATATGTATATTTACTAGAATCAGTGATGCCAGTACTGGGTTCTTTGCCAAAACTGGAGTAAAAATGAGCTAAAAAGATCATTTAGTGTCTTATAGTGTCAGTACAGTGATCCTGAAGCTGTATTATTTGTAATCGCAGTAACATGTAGTGTCTTGTAGTGTCAGTATAGTGATCCTTAAGCTGTACATGTATTATCACAGTAACGTGTAGTGCTCTGTACAATGTATTTGGCTCAATTTACCCCTAATTCGTATTTATCAAAACTATTGCATACTCACTATATTTTGTTTGGGGGCGATGTGTTGCTTTTAGTTGTAGGAAATTACTTGTTGCTTGCTGTTTGGCTGGTAATTTTAATCATGTTTGTTTGTTTGTTGATGTTCAACGGCCCATCGACGGCTGTGGTCATTTAGGGCCATGGTGATTTATTTATTTTATTTTTTTAACAAACATGTCAGTATTGAAGATAAAATTAGATAAAATGGTTCATTTTAAAAGCATTCGCATTGTATGTGTAGATAATTAAAAATAAAAAGGGGGTTAAAATAATAAAAGAGATAACGAATAGATGATATGGAATATGTGATATAATATAACGTCAAAAAGGGTAAGGTTGGTTAAAAGACGTCAGAGTCTATAGAATAGACCGATGTCTTTCAAATAGTTTAATAATGCCATCGAGTCCACGGAACTGAAAAGAGTTTTCATATCCGGGACTCGAAAGTAGTTATCACAAATGTGTTAAAAATCGGAACATTCTATTAAAACATGTTCCACTGTAAACGGAGTGTCACATGCATAGCATGAAGGTAGATCTTCTCGTTTTAGAAGGTACGGATGAGTAGGATATGTATGTGTGCCCAGTACGGATTTTAATCCTGATATTCCATTGGTTTTTTTACCATGGTATACTGTACTACTGGCCATGGGTATAGCTTGCTGTATGGCTGGTAATTTGAATCATGATATTCCTTTGGTTTGTTACTGTGGTATACACTGTACTACTGGGTAAGCTCGCTGTATGACTGGTAATTTGAATCCTGATATTGCATTGGTTTGGTACTGTGGTATACTGTACTACTAGGTATAGCTTGCTGTATGACTGGTAATTTGAATCATGATATCACATTGGTTTGTTACCATGGTATACTGTACCACTGGGTATAGCTTACTATGGTATACTGTACAACTGGGTATAGCTCGCTGTATGACTGGTAATTTGAATCATGATATCACATTGGTTTTGTTACCCTGGTATACTGTACTACTGGGTATAGCTTGCTGTATGGCTGGTAATTTGAATCATGATATTCCATTGGTTTGTTACCCTGGTATACTGTACAACTGGGTATAGCTTACTGTATGACTGGTAATTTGAATCATGATATTCCATTGGTTTGTTACCCTGGTATACTGTACAACTGGGTATAGCTTACTGTATGACTGGTAATTTGAATCATGATATTCCATTGGTTTGTTACCCTGGTATACTGTACTACTAGGTATAGCTTGCTTTATGGCTGGTAATTTGAATCATGATATTCCATCAGTTTGTTACTGTGGTATACTGTACTACTAGGTATAGCTTGCTGTATGACTGGTAATTTGAATCATGATATCACATTGGTTTGTTACCATGGTATACTGTACCACTGGGTATAGCTTACTATGGTATAATTTACAACTGGGTATAGCTCGCTGTATGACTGGTAATTTGAATCATGATATCACATTGGTTCGTTACCGTGGTATACTGTACTACTGGGTATAGCTTGCTGTGTGACTGGTAATTTGAATCATGATATTCCATCGGTTTGTTACTGTGGTATACTGTACTACTAGGTATAGCTTGCTGTGTGACTGGTAATTTGAACCATGATATACCATTGGTTTGTTACCGTGGTATACTGTACTACTAGGTATAGCTTGCTGTGTGACTGGTAATTTGAATCATGATATTCCATCGGTTTGTTACCGTGTTTTACTGTACTACTGGGTATAACTTGCTGTGTGACTGGTAATTTGAATCATGATATTCCATCGGTTTGTTACTGTGGTATATATATTATCTATTTTTTTTAAAATATGTTTCAGCAATGAAGCATAGGTATCAAAAATGAGTCAAAAGATATACAGATATTAAATGCGTCAATAAGTCTCCCCAACAATCATTATAATACCTATTTGAGGAGCCTTGATTGACAGCAGGCAAAACACTAAATAATCCCTATATAGTTTTTAGTACATACAGCAAGTAACCTCCCCTTAATTTTGTTTGAGACGTGACTGTGAAGTAACTGAGCCAGGGTACAACCTCTGACCAGAGCTGGCTAGTGAAACATTACAATGATAAGGATATAGGTTCGAATACTTATCTGGCCCTAATGTATTTTACCTTCAAAATACTGTTGTTGATTAATTTATGGTACAAAGATAGTTTAGTGATAAACAATACCCAGGTCACAGTATCAAAAACGTGTGTATCGTTACTGTCTCAAAAGCAGTGACACATCGAAATTTACATGTGTTATTTCACTTTTAAAAACATGTTTCAAAAGCGATTTCATATATTATCAACATTGAAAATGTGGACAAATTTAAATCTGTTTGATTCTCGGAATGAAACAGAAGATGTCAACACAAAATGTTAAACAGTTTTCTGTAATTTAAAACACACACACACTCACACACAAACTGATTGTCTGCATGAGAGAAAACTCAAAAACAAGATTATTTTTCATCATGAGTATTTATTTCAGAGTTCTGAAAGATTTTTAAAAGAAATGTTTACTATTCAATATATGAGCACTGACCTACACATTGGACACTAGGAGACAGGAACACAAATACATATTGCACAAAAGAGGGGGACACCAGGCCGTACCGGCTCTAGTAGGACACCAGGCCGTACCGGCTCTAGTAGGACACCAGGCCGTACCGGCTCTAGTAGGACACCAGGCCGTACCGGCTCTAGTAGGACACCAGGCCGTACCGGCTCTAGTAGGACACCAGGCCGTACCGGCTCTAGTAGGACACCAGGCCGTACCGGCTCTAGTAGGACACCAGGCCGTACCGGCTCTAGTAGGACACCAGGCCGTACCGGCTCTAGTAGGACACCAGGCCGTACCGGCTCTAGTAGAAAAAATAGTGTTATAGTTAAAATCTCATGTAAATAACAAACCTGTCTGTATGTAGTACAGAATGCAGAGGAATAATATTTAACAAATACTTTTATGATATACTTAGTGATGAGCGGAAGAATTTCTGTAGAATCGAGGTGCAGAATCAATCCCAAATCGAATTGCATTGTCTGCCCTCAAATTTGTGTTCATTCAGGGGAGGTAATACTGTTTTCCATCATGAAATTGTATCCCTTTACTTGAAAAGAGCATAAATCCTAATTTTGTTATTAACATAAGCTAATTAATTTAAGTATTTGTACTATTGTCATGGATTGGGTCATTTAACACCGTAATATAATTTAATATAATCACAGAAATACACCAATTTAATTCATCTAACCAGACTCATTTCATTTGGTCCAGCCACCTGAACTTTATCAGGAATTGAAATGAAAGGAACCAAAGAATTTGTTTATCAGGTATCATTGTCTGCCTTTTTTAATTGAAGAAATGACCATAGATCTCGGAGGATATTTATCAATTGGAAGGCTTAAACCATGCATTGATAATTACACTACACGGGTCCTGATCTGTCAACGGAATCAACCTGCAATTCCTTGATTTCTTCACACCGTTGTATGATTGTAGGTTAAGAGAGGGGAAGCTTACTGAGATACACACGTTATCAATTTAGCTGCCGATGTACACGTTTTGCTGACGAAATGCAACTGCAATCTGGACACACACAAAAATGTAAATAGTTAATTAAGAAACATGTATTTCTAATACCTTGGAGGATCAAATTGAACTTTTTTTGTATTTTTGTATGATTAACATAGAACAAGATTTGAAATCAAAGTCCTCTGAAAAATTTGTAAGGTTTTAAGTTAGTGCAGAGTAGAAAATTCTTTTCCCCTTTTAAGGTTTTGTTCTATTTATCCTTGATCAAAAGCAAGTGGTTGAATTCAGAATGGGAGAAAAATATCAGAGGTTTATTAAAACTATTTTTTAAATTGGAGTCGAGGAAGTTATCTCTGTGCAAAATAGTTTTAAAAGTCCAGACATCTAATTGGGAAAGGGGAGGATATTAGAGATTTTGATAGATTATCTTAGTGATTCGGGAAATTTTTACTCGGTGTCAATATTTAAAAAAAAAAAAAAAGGTGCCAGTGCAAGAAAGATGTTTTCCGAGAAACAGTATATGGATCCTAAAGATAGGCATATATGCATTTACAATGCTTCGTGATATACAAACTGATACCCTGTTTAAATGCTTGACACCTGGCGATACAAGCCAACGTTTAGTCATGCGTATCGGCTACAGAGAATCAACACGCACAAATATATATCTATAACTGTCTCCAGTATAAACAAACGATACACCACCAAACACAATATCACATCATCTTTGTTACACACTCAATGATACACATAGTAGTCCACCATCACAGGCCTTTTCCAGTGCACGCTGATCCGAATTTTCGCCGGTTTTCGAGTCCATCCTAGAAATACCAACACGACAACTTATACAATGTGCACAGAACCCATCTTGTCTTAAAATGTCATTTGTGCAAGTAGGATAGAGATATTCAGTCCATCACTGACCTCCTTCGTCTTCTAAAGACATTTACGCATTCCACAGGTAGATAGGTGTGTGTTAAGTGTCTTGAGCGCAGAAAGATGCTATGCCACCACATATCTGGACTGCTGGATGAATATCTTGCACGTCAGAACAGTGCTGCTGTCTCTAATATATATATACATATATATATGTTTCTTTTGGATATCCTGTATGGATTTGCTAATACAATGTCTCTGCCATTTTGTTATAAATTTGCAGTACTTTCCTGAATACTGCCATATATCTCATAATATACCTGAATTTATGGTTCCTGCCATAAGTTTGAATAAAATTGATGAAAACATCTATTAATGTCATGGTGATACACGGATATATAATAAACCGTCTGTCATGATATTGGTCCAAAAGTTATACAGTGAAGGGTAGATAACTCTTAAATCTACCAGGGGAGGTAATACCTTAGCCCCCTACTCCAATTCCTTAGTGTGGAGTGTCTACTGGTTTCGTTTCAGCTGGCGTGCTAGAGCGAGAGGCACCCGAGGAGTGGGTGGGGGAAGTTGTGGAGCGGACAGGGCTTGATGCTTGGGTGGTTGGGGGTGGGTTGGAGTCTGATTGTAGTCCGGGACCCTGGGAGCGGTGACTGCGAGAAGAGTCGGAACGGACATCTGACATCTGCGTCTTGCCGCAGACATGGTGGTGGTTCTCCCAGTCTTTGTGTTGACAAAATGAGCCACAATAGCGTGCAATGTTACAGCCACTACAGGTCTCGCTAGCTTTCCGGCCACAATTCCAGCAGCTCTGTAATACAGAAGATAAATTTGTGATTGTTAAAATTCATCTAAAAGTTTTTTTAAATTGTAGCTTAATAGGTTGGTTGTTTTTGGCGTATATTTTGTAAAGCTATCGGAGATATGTCAGTGATAAGGATATACAGATACGTCAAACCTGTGATTTATGATAGAGTTATCTCCCTTACGAGAACATTTTAATAAATTCAGAATAACCTGAATATTGTTAAGGACACTATTGCTGTATACATTTCAATTGTGTTATCTATTAATTAACGAAATTACCAAACACAACGGATATTTTACAGCTTTTTCTAGTGTACTTTTGCATAGGAAATGTATGCCCAAGTAAGTTAGCATACACCCTCAACCCTTTCACAACTGTAAATCATAATGGACTCAGCAATATCAATGCGTGGTAGAGTCTACTAAAGTTACATAAGGGGCGAAAGGGTGAAGTTTGTAATCTGTTTGTGTACCTCGCTGGAGTCCTCCTGATTATTCAGATTGGCCATGCTCTCACTGTGTGCAAGTTTACGAGCCTCGCTCACTGCCTGTTCTATCTTGAGCCGCTCAGCATTCACCATATCACGGGACTTCTGCTCGGCTGCGGCCACTGCTTTCTGTAATTCCAGCATAGCCTGCCTCTTCACCTCACTCACAGCCTCCTCTGTAACATACAAACATTCTATCAGAAGTTGTCTCCAAAGGAAACACCTACACGACTGTCAAATGTTTGAAATTTAACAATGGTGTCAGTCTGTTTTAAACATTTCAGGCCCATGAGCTCACACAGGAGTCATAAAAATTTCATGTCCGTCTGCTAGCAGTTCTAAAGCCAATCATGTCCTCACATAAAGAATCACATCGCGTATATTTTTTTTTTTAACACAAATAGTAATTGATTACTCTCCTTATCATTTGGCTAGGCTATACACATATAGGAGAAAACAACTTACCTGCCCTGCGCCTGACATCTGACACACGGTCCTCCGTGTGCCGAAGAGTGTGAGCCATCATGTCGTTGGAGCGTTTTTTCATGTCCTGGTCCAGACCTTCGGCATGACGACGCATCCACAGCGACAACTCCTCGCGGTCGCGTAGACTTCGCTCTTGTAGTACGGAAAGAGCTCGCTTGGTCTTGTCCACCATTCCAATTATGCAGTTGAGCATCTGTAGTGAAATTTTAGACATGTTAAACATGGTTTAGTGTATATGAATTATATATAATATTCTCTTTTATCACATAATGTACTGTGTTATCCAGTGAATATACCCATGTCATATTTTCTTTTGCATATTAACCCATGTAATATGACCTATCATCCCTGTGATTGGTTGTAAGTTTCAATTGTTTCAATTGTGACGTCACGCCAAGAACAAGTACAAGTCGTCACAGACTTACGCACTGGAGTCAAAATGGGGGCTTTTTACATTTCAAGGTTGCATGAAAATTGTCGTTTTACACGAATAAGTGCCACAAATCTTGATAATGTCAGGTATAACTCGTAAGTTAAAGAAACAATTTCTTGCCATGAGAGAAAAATGTGGCTTTATTTTACACTTAAAATGCACAACAACAGTTTGTACTAAGTTGCTCCTCCTCAAAGATGGTGCTCACCGTTTCTACATGTCTCCAATCATCGTCCAATCGCTCAAGTGGTTCAAATGAATCGGACCGATTGAAGTCTGCAAAAAAGAACATAAGTATCACCTATTGTTGTCTGCATATTCAACAGATCAAAGTTTTCAAAGAAAAAAGTTCAATATCGTAAATTAATTCATACAGTACGAAAATATCCTATAAGAATTTTTTTATATCAATTTGAATGAAATATTTTGAATTCAGGAAGTTTCATATTGTTCAATTGCTTTAAATATTTCATTATCAATCAATAAGTACTTAAAAATAAATTTTGAAGGAATTACACATTTCACTAGAAAGAAAGAGTTGTGTCCCTTTGTCAAGCTAAACTTCAATTGCAGTAATTCATTTGTGATTCAAAAGTCAAAATTAAAATGTAGCTCAAACACCCCAAACCACCAGACTACCAGAGTCTCATGACTACCAGTTGTCTCCCTTTAATCAATATTTAAAACTTACTGTTGTTATTAAAATGTGCAGAGAAGTTTGGGTCTCTGTCCCCGTCTCCTTGTTCTCTGTCTGATCTTTCCCGTTCCACTCTCTCTCGTTCCCGGAGTTCCCGTGACAGACTTATGTCCTCCAGGCGGATAGGTCCTGCTGTAAGATTTAGGACGCCATTAGGGCTAACCCTCGGGCTCAAGGAATGATGACGCTTGGCTGGATGTTCAGGATCCAGGTGAGGGGGTCCCACACCATTGTCTTTGGGTCTACTGTAAAGGCAAAAAACTTTAATAAGGTGTCAAGTTCTTTTGACATATCATTTTTAGCGAATTGTGAAAGTTTCAAATCAGTAAAGCTAAGAAGACTAAGAAAATAAAAATGTCCTTAACCTAAGACTTCCAATAATCCTCTTTGGAAAAATTTGTCTGAAGTAATGGTATTTTTCCTTTCCTTTTTTTACCGTAATTAACCTTTAATTTAATAAAGTTAAATTTTCTACTGAATTTGACGATACACTGTTGTAGTAATAAAAACAAATTTTAACTGAATTAAATGATAATATAAAAAAAAACACAGATTGTTTGGATGATTCGGTACAAAAAATTAACGAAGACATTTTTTTTTATTAAGATTTTTGATATTATTTCTTGGTTAAAATGACCTCAATTTTAAAGAAATGTTAACTTTTTGTATTTGTCATGGTCATTCAAAACTTTCAATTGCTTACCCGTCGGGTGATCTACGCTTTCCGTTTTCGTTAATGTCTGCCGGGATGTCATGAGAGTCGATAGGTGATGATGATGCGTCAAACAGGATGTGCTCGTTCTGGTTGAGGAACTGCTGCGGTGTCTGCTTGGCCATGCGTGCGCAGTGTAACAGCTCCCTCTGGAGGAGGGGCAGGTTGGCCTGGAGGAAACACAGAAAAACGTTAGATACTAAATGCGGACAGAAAGACATAAATTTGAAAGCAGGACAGAAACAACCATCAGACAGAATGAAGGACAGACTCAGGATAGGACTGACATGGGATTATTGGGACAGAAAGACAGACACTTGATAGTTTGCCGTGGACAGATGTCAGATAGTACAGAAAGACAGACACTTGATAGTTTGCCCCAAAAACAGATGTCAGATAGGCCGGAAGACAGACTCTTTATAGTTTGCCTCAAAAACAGATGTCCGATAGGACAGAAAGACAGACACTTGATAGTTTGCCCTAAAAACAGATGTCAGATAGTACAGAAAGACAGACACTTGATAGTTTGCCCCAAAAACAGATGTCAGATAGGCCGGAAGACAGACTCTTTATAGTTTGCCTCAAAAACAGATGTCAGATAGGACAGAAAGACAGACACTTGATAGTTTGCCCTAAAAACAGATGTCAGATAGAACTGAAAGAAGGACACTTGATAGCTGGACACAAAAGCAGACGTCAGATAGGACAGAAAGACAGACAGTAGAATTATTGCCAGAAAGATGAACATTAGGATGTTGAAGCAGAATTATCAATTTGAGAATAGCGATGGACAATCAATATTAAGGTAATTTAAAGGAGAGCTTTTCTTTCAAGATTTGTCAAAGAAATATGGACAATGATAGGAACATGGTAAGAAACAGTATTTTACACAATGCTTTATAATTAATATAAGATTTTATATCATAAAATATTGAATGTTAATTGTGATCATATTTTGACCAAACGCAAACTTTTTTTTGAAAATTTACCTTCAAGAATGGTATCACAAATGGTCTAAGGGGAAAATTGGTCGCTTCCTGTAGCTTCGCATGGAATTCTTCTATGGAAAGGTGAGAATTCTGAAAAAATAAAAGAAATGAATATAACACTTTTTGGTTTGGTTTGTTTGTGTTTTACGTCCTCTTAACAGCTATAGTGATCATTTAAGGACGTGCCAGGTTTTGATGGTGGAGGAAAGCCAGTACTATAGTGTTCCCAGAGAAAAACCACCTACCAACGGTCAGTATACCTGGCAACTGCCCCACATAGGTCTCGAACCCGTGATCCAGTCGTAGCAGAATGTTAGACGCTTTAACCACTTGGCCACTGCGGCCTCACAATATAAAACTAAACATTGCCTGTGATAAATTGCTGTTGAGATACAAAAAAAATGAAAAAATCCAAGTGACTCCAGGAGTAAGGATGAAAGTTTCATTTTTTTATTTCTTTTTATGTCTAAATCAGGTTTTGTTTTATTTTTATCATCTGTGTATATGATTGTATTTTAATTAAAACATTTGGAAAAACCCTGATAATTCCAATTCCCAATGGTAATGAAACATTTCCTGTAACCAATTTAGTAAATTTGACACTTCAGTCAATTACAAGCATCTCAAAGACAGGGAGTTGGTGATGGAATTATTGCGACCCAGAACGAGAGCATAGGTGTCACCTTTACAACCTGCCAAGAAACATAACCAATTCTGTCAATGAAATTTCATTACAGAAAACAAAATTTGACTTTAACCCAATTAGACGACAATGAGGCTTTCCCTTTTTCGTACATGTTTTTGTACTTAATTTGTAAAGTATCTCCTGGGTAAACCGTTCGTTGAAGAGAAAGGTGGAAGGTTTCTTGCTTACCAAGGTCAAAAGGCCACCGAAGGCAAACTGAATTCAAGTATTGTGACAGTTTATTGTCAAAACATTATTTTCTTTCTAAATGATAATTCACTTCAGAATCCCCCAGTTGAAGTAAATGTTTTTCTTTAAGAAAGTTATGTTCTGTTGAAAAAAAGTCAGCAATAAAAATTACAAAGAAAAATTGACAGTGAAAACATTTTTTTTGAAGATTTCGGAATAAAACTTTGGGTATTAGACTTAAAACTTTTATGATGTCGCCACTTTTTTACCCTTTTTTTTTGTCAAAAAGAATTGATTTCTTCTCTGTGAAATTTGTAGAAATTATCCTGGTAGTCTTTTCCTCATTAGTTGCATTTACAAGTACAGCATACAAGGTACAGATAGACTGTACCATATTTATCCTGCAATAAGCCCCTGCCTGACAATAAGCCCACCCCTATCAGTTGCTGTTCAGTAACACTGTTTCAATGCCCTGTAATAAGCGCACCGAAATATTCGGAGTAAGAAGTTATGTGTTTGCCCACTGGACTTATTGCAGGATAAATACGGTTTATGAAATTGTAACATTTGAGCTTCGCATAATTTATTCCATTTACTGCTGATTTTTTTTATGGTGAATCTAACAAATCTAAGTATATAATTCAACAGTTCATTAGATACTTACCACTAGACCGAGTACTAAGGTACGGACGCGCTCCCCAATCTCCGGTGAGATGTCGGAGCCAAACTGCTGGAGTGTCGTGAGAAAACGTTTCAACTTGCTGAGCTGTCGGGCGCCACAGGCGGGAGGAAGCTGTTGGCTGACCGACGAGTTGACCATAAGGTTCGGGGACGGTGTCTGTCCATTCAGACCACTAAGTGGCGAGTGTGTTCCGTTCACTGTCAAAACAACAACATTACAATGTTACTCACATGCTTGTCATATAAACTTTACTTATTTAAAAACTTATGTTAATCATTCTTGTTGGCCCAGATGTTAGTGCGCGGGGGGTGGGGGGTGGGGTGTGTCTTATTGTGGGAGGCAAGCGTAATAACCGGAGGAAAACTACTTGGTCGGGCAGGTGACCTCATACCTTTCAAGTCCGATCGGGGAATCAAACCCCCGGCCGCCTTGGTGACGAACTTGTCAAAACCAAACAAGGCTAACGACAACACAGCACTCTTTTTAGACTTGACCAAATAAAGCTCAACTTTTTTTACAAAGACTTACTTTCTTAATTTGACTTTAAAAAAAAATGAAGAAAAATATCTGTACCTATAATTCTGTTATTTAATTTCACATACAAAACATATGACAATACTCTTTTTATTTACGTTGAATTTGACATGGACAACCAAATGTTTTCTTAAAGGGCCACATTTAGATAGACATTATCTACACAATGGTTAACTTCATAAAATCTATGTTAAGAAGACACCGACACATCTGTTTCTTATTTATACAATTTACACATTTTCCTGATTTCTCTGATGTTTCTACGCTAATCACTTTTATCTTCATGCTTACGTTACAAAAAAACCACAATTTACAGCAAATTCAACAAAGTAAAAAAAATTATAGGCAATTATACAAAAATCAGATGTAAATAAAATTTGGCAGCTGTTTATGAAAATATAGGATTTTTTCATAAACTAAAACTTAAACTTCCTGGTAAACACCGCTTTATCACCGACACATATGTTGCCTTTCTCATCACTTGATCAAACTATAAACAACAGATTTACTGATAATGTTAATAAAATCCACTTATACATAACTAAACAGCTTGGTGGTTCACTTGCAGTAAAAATGATGCATTATTTATCGAAGTACATGTGTTGTATTATTTCTACGAATACTGAATCATCCGTAATTTCACTTGTCATGGAAAATTCATGATCACATATGGTGTATTGAGGCCAGTATGCATTTTAATACTGCATAATAAGCTACCCACATGTCAACATAGGGGAATGAAAGCCCTCATCTGTTCAGCACTGGTCTCCTGTAGGCTTATGGTACCAGCATGAATACGTCGGGTCTGCAGACTACGGCCAGCAATGCCATTATTGAATTGGATCTCCTTAATTTCATCAATTTTAGAGCCGAAACGTAATATAGGATCTTGCTGCGCAATCAATATTTGTCAACCCATATATTTCTTTGTTTTTCATCCAATTATTTTCAAACATCAGAAAAAGTTTGCCGCGTTGATTAATTTTACATGTCGTGTTCGTGAAAACAGTGAGCAAAACGATTCTTTCGAAGACAATGGAGATTGGTTCTGATAACATACTACTGTCATAACCTAGGAGCCTACTAGACCCTAAGAGAACTAAGGTTTGTTTTGCTCGCTACCAATTTTGTACCAATAAGTAATTAAACCATCTTTTAGATAGTCAACAACCTCTGGCACAAAATGTCATTGCAAATTATTATTTTTGCGAATTTCATGCTATGTTTATTGGTAACCTGGTTCTTATCACTGAAAAATTATTAGCTGTCTTTTAAAATGGACAACAAGACATTTCGCTTAACAGCTCTCTGACACAAAACCACATGTAAAGTTCAGATATTCTTTAATAGGTACAGTCGAAAATGGACAGGAAAAGTGAGTTCCCGTGGAGACTAACTTCCTGTAAAGCCAGGGTATGTCTTGGTGAAGGAAATCATATCAGCTTGTTGTTAGTATATATAGTCTGGTAGAGGTGGTTGTTGGTTCTTAACATACAGCTTTATTAACTCATTCACCCCTGAAATTTCATAATGAACAATTCCAACCTTTGAATTGGAAGGGTTCAAATGTGTCTTCAGGGGTCAATGAGTTAATCTTTTCGTCCCTACAGATTAACATGGACTTGCTTAGATAAAAAAGTGAGAGGATCAAATAGTATTCAGTGGTAAAAGGAGAAACAGTGGCTAGCGTCTATTATAGCAATAACTCGAAATTTTATGAAGGTATATTCCAATCATAAACTTGAAAATAGTGAAATTTTTTAATACTTTGTGCTAATTAAATTAATTGGTTCATTATCTACATGATGTCGATGATGATGTAGAAATTGCTTTGGTAAATAGGATATCAATTCTGTAGTGTTTGGGAATCGGTTGAAATATGTGGATCATTGGTTAATTAACATTATAACTAACACTATTACGATACAGCAATCTAAGTGATACCCTATGAGTGTGACCTGTTGGAGGGCTGGTCTACACCTGTATGAGGACGACTTACCTGAGAGGGTACTGCCTCTTGAGTGGGGGCGCGGCACATCTCGGGCAGTGATTCCCCCGGCCATGCTGGTTGCTAGCGGTGACTGTAATGCTGTTTTTGGGTCCGGTGACTCAGGCATTATATTCTCTCTGTAATCTGAAATTAGACAAATTATATTAAATGTAAACTTTATGAATTTTTCAACAAATATAAAAAAAAATGATTTCAACAAGTGATATTAATCTCTCTTGTTGGCTGGGATATTAGCACATGGGATCGAGTCATAATGGAGGAGGAAACTGGAGTACCCGGAGAAAACACACATGGTCGGGCAGATGACCCCATACCTTTTCACATCCAATCGGGGAAATCGAACCCCTGCCGCCTTAGTGAAAGGAGTGTACTTTCCACTCTGCCAACCGACCACCCTTACAATTCATATTAAGCATTAGTAACAACCTTTTACATTGTAAGCCATTCTGTGTCGGTAATCTGAGAACATATTACTACTGTAGATGAAAAAACACGAAAGACAACATTATAGCACAGACTGGCCAATCCAATCCATTTTCTCTCTGGTGTGTTCTGCAGCCATGACTTTTTTCAAGTATTTTTCACAGGAATATCAAGCATTTATATTGACATTCAAAGTTACCTCCCCTGAGCCACCACAATAACCTGCACACCTGACACTCCACGGAGCTTGTGTACCTGACAGCCCACTAACTGCTAGTTGAGGAATTATCTGAGAAAATGACAGCCGTTCAAAGGTGTCTGAAAATCATCTGTTTATTGATTATATTGAACTTTGAGACAAAAATACATCAAGTTTCCCAACCAGTCATCATAACGATTAGTAACCATTTAAATTTGCTTTAAGTATTTGTACATTTCATTCAATGTTTCTAATAATGATTAATATAATACAAATGACACTTAATTATCTCTCTATAACATCTGTTTATGGTATCATAAAGGATTAAGTGTGTACCTCTATCTTGGTATCCGACAGGGTAAAGAGCTTACCCCTATCTCCTTTGAAAATTTAGTTATCTGTCGCATGTCTCATTAAAAGCATTTTTTTGGTTGTCCCAATGTTTTGGAATTATACCTTACTTACGTTTCTCGTCATACCCTGTATACTGTAGTTACTCAGAAACCAAATTACTATGATACCATAATTACTCATTTTTACCATAGTTACTTATCATACCCTTGTTATTGGGCATACCCTTCTTACACAGTTGCCATGGTTACTCAGCTGCCATAATTACCCGGCATTACACTAGTTATTGGGAATAGCCTTATTACTAAGTTGCCATAGTTACTCATGATCAACACACCCTAGTTATTGGGCATACCCTTCTTACACAGTTACCATGGTTACTCAGCTGCCATAATTACCCGGCATTACCCTAGTTATTGGGAATACCCTTATTACTAAGTTGCCATAGTTACTCATGATCAACACACCCTAGTTATTGGGCATTCCCTTGTTACTCTGTTACCATAGTTACTCAAGTTACCATAGTATTCAGTAAATTATGATTACTTAGTACACTGTAGTTACTTAGTACACTGTAGTTACTTAGTACACTGTAGTTACTTACAGTCACCATAATAACAGTATTATGTCACTAATTTACTCAGTTGCCATAATTACTCAGTACATGTACAACATATTTACTTAATTACTGTAATTACTGTAATTACTCAGTTCACCAGGATATTTCCACAAATGTTAATTTTAAAACATCATGTAAATTTTGAGATACCCTACCTGATTTATTGTTCCTCTGACCATATATTTTATGCAGAATTCTACGAAAGCACAGATAAATTTAGGATTTCTCTATTGACACATGTCAACACTTCAAAATTATAAACTCAATTGTGGATACTAAGCAATTAGAGATGATTAACTGCAGATCCTTTAAAATTATACCCCCTCCCCTTTCCTATTTGAATGGACAAGTTCTACTTTAAGAACCTCTGTAACAAAACCACCTTTATAGTAAGACAATTTCTATAGTTAGTAAGACCTCTACATTTCAACAACTCCTATAATCAGACAACCGCTACATCAGAACCTCTGTAATATGACAACCTCTAAAACATGACCTCTATAACACATCAAAATTTGTCATAGTTTCGGGTTTTACGTCATTGCAACAGCCAGGGTCATATTAGGACGTGTACCTAGGGAGACACAACAGTCAGGGTCATATGAGGACGTGTACCTAGGGAGACACAACAGCCAGGGTCATATGAAGACGTGTACCTAGGGAGACACAACAGCCAGGGTATACCTAGGAAGACACAACAGCCAGGGTCATATGAGGATGTGTACCTAGGGAGACACAACAGCCAGGGTCATATGAGACGTGTACCTAGGGAGACACAACAGCCAGGGTCATATGAGGACGTATACCTAGGAAGACACAACAGCCAGGGTCATATGAGGACGTGTACCTAGGGAGACACACCAGCCAGGGTCATATGAGACGTGTACCTAGGGAGACACAACAGCCAGGGTCATATGAGGACGTGTACCTAGGGAGACACAACAGCCAGGGTCATATGAGACGTGCATGTACCTAGGGAGACACAACAGTCAGGGCCGGGTCATATGAGGACGTGTACCTAGGGAGACACAACAGCCAGGGTCATATGGGACGTGTACCTAGGGAGACACAACAGCCAGGGTCATATTAGGATGCGTACCTAGGGAGACACAACAGCCAGGGTCATATTAGGACGTGTACCTAGGGAGACACAACAGCCAGGGCCGGGTCATATGAGGACGTGTACCTAGGGAGACAGTGCAGGAAAAGGAGAGTAGATAGAAAAGAAAGACAGGAAACGAAAAATATCCCAAATGTTCCAATGGGGGTAGCAGATGAGTTTGGTCTCTTCCATGTCCTATTAGTAGAAGACACGGAAGAAAACCCCGGATTCTGTAGGGGCCCCTACATTAGGTACCTTTTACTATACTTTATGCAGTGGGATACGGTAGGTATGTTCCTAAAGGTACCCAGCTGTCACTATCGCTTTCTCAGGTCCGTATAACCACATAGTCACTTCCACAAAAGTCCTTACTTGTTACATTAGATATCAGGGTGGTTTTTTATCATTTAACAAGACAGAAGAAAAGTACTGCTGTAGGTAGAGATCAAGGTGTTGCTACATTTGTTACTGCCATCATAATGAGATTATTGACAAGCTGTTTCTAAAGATTTTAACACCGAGACAATAACGTGTTATTTATATATTGTAACACCTGCAAAGGAATGGTTTGTTACTGACTGTTCTAGTACTGTGAACTGACCAGTCCTTTACTTACTCAGCATGACAGACCAGTCCTTTACTTACTCAGCATGACTGACCAGTCCTTTACTTACTCAGCATGCATATGACTGACCAATGTAAATAAACACAACTTATCACAACTTATCACAACAATCGAAAACATACTATAATTACATCAGTAGACTACTGGGACAGTGTCTTACCTTTCAGAATCATCTTTCCAAGGAATTGTTAAAATATCCAGAATAACTGTGTCCTTGGGTGGAAATGATAGCACTTAAAATTAGTGTCCTTATAGCTAGATATGAAAACACAACATTAACTCTACATGTATCTTAAGTAGAATATGAACCCATTAATGTTCTAGGGTGGATATGAAAACTCTATAAATCTGTGTCCTTGGACAGATATGTCAAAAATTAATGGGGTCCTATGGTAGATATGAAATCACTATAAATCCGTGTCCTTGGACAGATATGTCAAAAATTAATGGAGTCCTATGGTAGATATGAAATCACTATAAATCCGTGTCCTTGGATGGATATGAAAACATGACAGGTGTCCTTGGACAGATATGTCAACATTAAGTGGGCCCTTAGATAGATATGAGAACACCTTGCCACACAATGACTTCCCGAGCATTAATCCCGAGGAAGGATGTGTGCAGGCAAAGATGAAGATGTTACTCTCGACAAAACAGAGGGCCACAATTGAACAAGAATCCTCCTAGTTCCCGGAGTATAAGGTTATCAACTTCCGAGGGCCTTCTGTCACAGCCAAACCACTTCATTGATGGCCTCAAGACAATCATACTAAAAACACAATAGCTGTGTCTTCCGGGGGCTCACAACGGGGGCCCCATCAATACATCAAATACATTAAAATTCTGATTAATGTATAATGTCAAGTCACAGAATGTATATGTATACATGGATAAAAATCATTTCTTATTCATGAAGGTTTTATTTCTTTGTTTAACAACCAGTTATTATGTTCAGGTAAAACTCTACAGTATTTTAAGTCAAATTTTAAAAGTAAATATTTGATTAAGATCAAATGAAAAATGTATCCTCTTCATTACAGCTCCACCTGGAACTGTAAAATGTCATCACGGCTTTCTCACTTTCTCGCTAATTTCATTTTAAATAGGTTTAAATGGAATGTTTATAGTGCTATGAATGCTATTTTACTGGTGTAACTACCACTGTAACCTTTCTATTACCCCATTTAACGCCTCCTGCAGCCACCCCGTTTGAACAACAGCATGTGGCAGGCAGCTTGGGTACGTAGTCACGCCCAAGCGAGTTATTGATCCACCCCTAACTTCCATGTCTGCTAGCCTGGGGAAAGTCTTGTACACAAAGGGGTCGTCAAGGATAACAAAGCTACCCGCAACATAGCTGTCACAGAGACGACATGAGACAGGTGGTGTATTCATAATAGTCAAAGTATGAAATATTTATTTATTTATTTTCTTCAGCTTATGTCAAGTTATTCCTTCAAGAAATTTCCTTGAACTTTTATTCACATTAGTTATATTTTTTTAACAGAGCTTCAATGCTACCAGCCTTGTCCGAGGTTATCTCCCTTTAATAATGTGTAGATAAATGTCACCGACACTCGTAAACAAAATGTCATATGCCAAGAGCACTTTTAGCTGTTTTGGTAAAGTACAAAAACACACACCCATACAGACCTAGGGAGCTAAAAGATCTACACAACCCCTGGCGAGGGGGGGGG